GCAGTAGATAACTTTTTGTCATATTTGCTAAAAATCTGATTTGAGTCTCTTTTGACTGCAGTCTACACGTAGCCTAAAACATAAAGCAGATCAGAAAACCCATCTGTATTAATAATCGTTTCAAATGAATGTAAAGCTATGTAAACTACAGGTGACTGAGGGGCTGCTCCAGTTATGAATGAATGTATAGCTTATTTTTTATAAGATTAAGGTTAAGATTATTTAAAGGTAAAATCTCTACAAATCTCTGGCTCCTCCTAGTGCTTCTAATGACATTTACAAGAATCCACTTGGCCTGAACAAAAACAACCAATCAGCAAGATGTAAAGACGCTTTGGGTTGGAAGCTTGAAGAAAGTTTATTCTTGAGTCAGAAAGCGTCTGTATTTGACGACCTGGGAATGAGACTCATCAATCAACTATCTTCCTTGGCACTGGTTGTTGGTTTTATACAGGCCTGCCTAACACTGGCTCCATATAAGGCCTTTACATGCATTTCGTGGCCACTGTAGTGTAGAAGTGAGGGTGTTGCGACCTGCAAATACACTGCTAGATGCCAGTACATCCTGCACACAATTGTAAAGATACTGGAGTTCTGAACTGGGCTGTTAGCTGACTGGTTAGTTTAAAGTCCGGTGAAACGTCGTTTGCTGCTTTAATTTAATTTTATGGGATTCAGACAATTTATTGATTGAGAATAATGTTCATATGAGTACATTTAGTGCTGTTAAAGATTTGTGTAGATAATAATTATTACACATGCAAACAGGATTTCACGCTGGTTATGGTATTAGTTCAGCGGCATGTTTCCATGGTTACAGAGAAATGACTTACCTACCATGATGGTGGGCTTACTGCTGGCGTGTGTGTGTGTGTGTGTATTTGCTCGGTGACTTGGAGGAAGGAGCATTGTGCAGTCTGTTTGCAGTGCGTCCGCTCAGTTATTCAGTTAGCTTGTTCTATCACCGTTATTGACATCATCAGTGACATCAGCACACCTGCAGTATCAGACAGTGACCTCCTAGTTTCCACAGCAACCGTTCCCATGATCCCTCCTACCTGGTCAATGTCACATTTGTCTGCGCTGTCTCCCCTCACACACACTCGCTCGCTCTCGCTCGCTCTCTCTCACTCTCACTCTCTCT